ATCTGCCTGCTCTGATCCCCACTCTGTCTCTGGTGAATCTTCTCACACCCTGCATCTCTTGCTGGTACCCCAGTTCTGTAGGCATAAATAAATAAATCTTGAAAAATAGAAGAATATCATACTGAAAGACATTTGAAACTTATCATAAATTTGTCTTTTGGATCACTAATCTATCCTTGTGTCCATTCCTTCATCCTGTCACCTCCACTGCTCTTTTTATATTTATCTGGGCTGATTTTTTGGTGAGTGGTTTTTGATAGTTGCTGTTTGGGTATTTAGTTTTTTACCCCATTCTTGTTCTACTTTGTCTCTAATCATGAAAGATGCTACTTCTCTTGACAGTCTACAGCATTTCAGGAACTGAAGATGATGAAGGCATGTCCAAAGAGCTCCCTACTTTACCACTTATATCTTTGTATGGTAATGATCTTTGGACTGTTGAGAGGAAGCAGTAAAAATCTCATATCTGAATTAGGCAACTTACCTAAAATTCTCAGCCACACCATCACCTCTGCAGAATTCAAGTTTTCAGTCCCAGAATCCTTGATATCAGTTTTTATCTCCCCAGAGTTGTAGATCCCTGCAACCCCTCAGGATTTCATAAGCTTGGGAAATAATTAACCAGACAATTAGGCAAACTTGTACGTTGACAAATTGGGTATTGTTTAAAGATGGACAAAAAAATTTTAGAGACTGTGATTCCTTGGTAAAAGTGTAGTCAGTAATAATTTTTATTCTCATTCTCTCTTGAGTTGTGTAAAACTGAACACAGTTTGTGCACATAGATTACATGTTCCAGATATATTCATATGAATATACTGGTATATTAAAGCATATATGTACAACCCAATATTTTTGTTATATGTTGAATATTTTCCTTTTGTCTTCCCAACTCTATTCTCCACCCCTTTAACTTACTTATTGCTCCAGGATACTCAATGTATTAACATAGCAACAGCATTCGTGGGCTCCTTTGTGCATCTGCTTAATGGGATTAGTGAGTGATTGTCACTGGCTATGAAGAGCTTGAGGTCAAAGTGGTTTTTCCCTTCCCTAGTTCTTGCAAAGTTACTGCAGCTGGCAGCAGCCCAGAATCCAGACCAGAGCTCTGGCTGGTGACACATCTCAGGGTTTTCCATTGCTCATATCTTCTCTCTCTTCTTGCACCTTCCAGAACAGAGGCAGCAATAGCTCCCAGAAGTCATTCCTTTTAGAACAATTACATTCTTCCTTGGGCATTCCCAACACCAGCCATTGTCCTTTGTAATCCTTCCTCCCCACTGTAACCAGTTTAAATGTTATATGATCATAAGTGATACAGGTCCTAGAAGAAGCCCCAGGAGATAAACATTCAAGTGGGATTAAATTGTTCACATACGTGAAAATTAGACATAGAAATCCACTGTTGGAATATGGAACATTGGTAATCCATGGCATCCTGGAAAAAGGGGAGACCAAATATTGAGAGGTCATTTTCTTCACACACAGGCAGACTAGAAAAACATGCTATCCTCCTTATCCAATGACTTCATGGACATTTGGGGATTGAACAAAGATCTTTGTAATTAGAAGCATCCAACAAGCTTTTGCTGCATTTTAAACCTGAACTATCCAACTGATAAAAGAATAGGCATCCAGACAGCCATATTGTATCACCTAAGTGTCAGAGACTGGACGAAAACAATTACTCAACATCCTACAAACTCTAGAAGGTAACCGATTATTTTGTTGCTGAGATATTGTGGTGATGTCTACTAGATGAGGTGTTTTAAGGATTGAAGTAGATGGGAACCCAACTCAACTGATATTTTTCTTGCAATGAAAAACATTTCAAGTTCACTTAGCCTTAAGGTTGCTCAGGTTGTTCTCGTACAGAAACACAACCTCTAATATAGTTCTCTGTGCTGAGAAATTCCCCTTCAGCCATGGACCTAGGGTGAGGCCAGGTCTTGGTGAGGATGGATCCTGAGACTAGCCACGGTGTGCACTTACAGCTTGGCCAAGCCTTCTTGTGTCTGGTCTACTGCCATTTCTAATATGGGGGGAAGGGAGGTAGCCAGATAGTCCCTGGGTATTGGACACTGATAGATGAGAAGACATCAAAGGTAAAAACTTACCAGCAAGAGTCATGGAACTGATGTGGAAAATAACATTGAGACCTGAGTGAATCCAAGATACCATGACCATTATTACCCAGGCTCAGAAAGAGTATTAGAGTTAAACATAAGATTCACCACCCTATATTGCTTTAAGTTTACATTTATTACATCAGATTACATTTGTAACAATATTTCCCTCTAGTTTCACGCAGGTGACATGCAATACTTGATTTTCTGTGCTTGTACTATACCAATTACACTTGTTAACATGACTTCACAAATCATTGTATTTTGTATAATTTTTAAAAAGATTTATTTTATTTATTTATGCATACAAGAGCTGGGGTACAGTGAGTGCGGGGATTCAGAGCAGAACAAGCAGATCTATTGAAATACACTGCTGAGGGAAGCAGCAGGTGAGACAGGAGAGGTCTGCTGCACCATTGTGGGTCAGCTCCCTGGCCGGGGATAGGAGTCATGTTGCAGAGGCTGAATACCTTGATAGAGCTGAGACTTTAACCGTTGTGCCACAAAAAATCCCTTTAAATATTTATTTATCTAT